AATACAAACAATTATAAGAACATATTATGAGCAACTCTATGCCAGCAAATTAGATAACCTGGAAGAAATGGGTGCATTCCTAGAGATGTACCAACTACCAAAACTGAACCAGGAAGAAATAGAAAACCTGAACAACCTATAATCCACTAAGGAAATTGAAGCAGTCATCAAAACTCTCCCAAGAAACAAAAGCCCATGGCCAGATGGCATCCCAGGGGAATTCTACTAAACATTTCAAGAAGAATTAATACCTATTCTCCTGAAACTGTTCCAAAAAATAGAAATGGAAGGAAAACTTCCAAACTCATTTTTTGAGGCCAGCATTACCTTGATCCCAAAACCAAAGACCCCATGAAAAACGAGAATTACAGACCAATATCCTTGATGAACATGGATGCAAAAATTCCCACCAAAATACTAGCCAGTAGGATCCAACAGTACATTAAAAGGATTATTCACCATGATCAAGTGGGATTTATCCCTGGGCTACAAGGTAGGTTCAACATCCGCAAATCAATCAACGTGATACAATCTATTAACAAAAGAAAGAACAAGAATCATATGATCCTCTCAATAGATGCAGAAAAAGCATTTGACAAAGTACAGCATCCTTTCTTGATCAAAACTCTTCAGAGTATAGGGATAGAAGGTACATACCTCAATATCATAAAAGCCATCTATGAAAAACCTACAGCGAATATCATTCTCAATGGGGAAAAGCTGAGAGCTTTTCCCCTAAGGTCAGGAACACGGCAGGGATGTCCACTACCACCATTTCTATTCAACATAGTATTAGAAGTCCTAGCCACAGCAATCAGACAACAAAAAGAAATCAAAGGCATCCAAATCGGCAAAGAGGAAGTCAAACTCTCACTCTTTGTAGATGTTTTGATACTGTATGTGGAAAACCCAAAGGACTCCACCCCAAAACTCCTAGAACTCATACAGGAATTCAGTCAAGTAGCAGGCTATAAAATCAATGCACAGAAATCAGTGGCATTCCTATACACCAACAACAAGACAGAAGAGAGACAAATCAAGGAGTCGATCCCATTTACAATTGCACCCAAAACCATTAGATACCTAGGAATAAATCTAACCAAAGAGGCAAAGGATCTGTACTCAGAAAACTATAAAATACTCATGAAAGAAATTGAAGAAGACACAAAGAAATGGAAAAACGTTCCATGCTCATGGATTGGGAGAACCAACATTGTGAAGATGTCAATGCTCCCTAGAGCAATCTACACATTCATTGCAATACCCATCAAAATACCATCCCCTTTTTTCAAAGAAATGGGACAAATAATCCTAAAATTTGTATGGAACCAGAAGAGACCCCGAATAGCCAGAGGAATATTGAAAAAGAAAAGCAAAGCTGGCGGCATCACAATTCCGGACTTCCAGCTCTATTACAAAGCTGTCGTCATCAAGACAGTATGGTACTGGCACAAAAACAGACACATAGATCAATGGAACAGAATCGAGAGCCCACAAATGGACCCTCAACTCTATGGTCAACTTATCTTTGACAAAGCAGGAAAGAATGTCCAATGGAAAAAAGACAGTCTCTCCAACAAATGGTGTTGGGAAAATTGGACAGCCACATGCAGAAGAATGAAACTGGACCATTTCCTTACACCACACACAAAAATAGACTCCAAATGGTTGAAAGACCTAAACGTGAGACAGGAGTCCATCCAAATCCTAAAGGAGTCCGTCCAAATCCTAAAGGAGAACACAAGCAGCGACCTCTTCCACCTCAACTGCAGCAACTTCTTCCTAGAAACATCGCCAAAGGCAAGGGAAGCAAGGGCAAAAATGAACTGTTGGGATTTCATCAAGATAAAAAGCTTTTGCACAGCAAAAGAAACAGTCCACAAAACCAAAAGACAACCGACAGAATGGGAGAAAATATTTGCAAATGACATATCAGATAAAGGGCTAGTATCCAAAATCTATAAAGAACTTATCCAACTCAACACCCAAAGAACAAATAATCCAATCAAGAAATGGGCAGAAGACATGAACAGACATTTCTCCAAAGAAGACATCCAAATGGCCAACAGGCACATGAAAAAGTGCTCAACATCGCTTGGCATCAGGGAAATCCAAATCAAAACCTCCATGAGATACCACCTCACACCCGTCAGAATGGCTAAAATTAACACGTCAGGGAACGACAGATGTTGGCGGGGATGTGGAGAAAGGGGAACCCTCCTACACTGTTGGTGGGAATGCAAGCTGGTGCAAACACTCTGGAAAACAGTATGGAGGTTCCTCAGACAGTTGAAATTAGAGCTACCATTCGATCCAGCAATTACACTACTGGGTATTTACCTCAAAGATACAAATGTAGGGACCCGAAGGGGTAGGTGCACCCCAATGTTTATAGCAGCAATGTCCACAATAACCAAACTGTGGAAAGAGCCAAGATGTCCTTCGACAGATGAATGGATAAAGAAGATGTGGTATACATACATAATGGAATATTATGCAGCCATCAAAAAGAATGAGATCTTGCCATTTGCAACGACGTGGATGGAACTGGAGGGTGTTTTGCTTAGTGAAATAAGTCAATCAGAGAAAGACATGTATCATATGACCTCACTGATATGAGGAATTCTTAATCTCAGGAAACAAACTGAGTGTTACTGGAGTGGTGGGGGTGGGATGGATGGGGTGGCTGGGTGATAGACATTGGGGAGGTTATGTGCTACGGTGAGCGCTGTGAATTGTGCAAGACTGTTGAATCACAGATATGTACTTCTGAAACAAATAACGCAACATATTTTAAGAAAAATGAAAAAGAAGAAGATAACAGGAGAGGAAGAATGAAGGGGAGTAAGTCAGAGGGGGAGACGAACCATGAGAGAAGATGGACTCTGAAAAACAAACTGAGGGTTCTAGAGGGGAGGAGGGTAGGGGGATGGGTTAGCCTGGTGATGGGTATTAAAGAGGGCACATTCTTCATGGAGCACTGGGTGTTATGAACAAACAGTGAATCATGGAACACTACATCAAAACTAATGATGTAATATATGGTGATTAACATAACAATAAAAAAATTAAAAAAAAAGATGAAAAGCTTTTGCACAGCAAAAGAAACCTTCCACAAAACCAAAAGACAACCTACAGAATGGGAGAAAATTTTGCAAATGACATATCAGATAAAGGGCTAGTATCCAAAATCTATAAAGAATTTATCAAACGCAACAACCAAAGAACAAATAATCCGATCAAGAAATGGGCAGAAGACATGAACAGACATTTTTCCAAAGAAGACATCCAAATGGCCCATAGACACATGAAAAAGTGCTCAACATCATTCGGCATCAGGGAAATCCAAATCAAAACCTCCATGAGATACCACCTCACACCAGTCAGAATAGCTAAAAGTAACAAGTCAGGAAATAACAGATGTTGGCGGGGATGCGGAGAAAGGGGAACCCTCCTACACTGTTGGTGGGAATGCAAGCTGGTGCAACCACTCTGGAAAACAGTGTGGAGGTCCCTCAAACAGTTGAAAATAGAGCTACCATACGATCCAGCAATTGCATTACTGGGTATTTACCACAAAGATACAAATGTAGGGATTGAAGGGGTATGTGCACCCCAATGTTTATAACAGCATTGTCTACAATAGCCAAACTGTGGAAAGAGCCAAGATGTCCATCGACAGATGAATCGATAAAGAAGATTGGTATATATACACAATGGAATATTATGCCGCCATCAAAAGGAATGAGATCTTGCCATTTGCAATGATGTGGATGGAACTGGAGGGTGTTATGCTAGTGAAATAAGTCAATCAGAGAAAGACATGTATCATATGACCTCACTGATATGAGGAATTCTTAATCTCAGGAAACAAACTGAGGGTTGCTGGAGAGGTGGGGGTGTGGGAGGGATGGGGTGGCTGGGTGATAGACATTGGGGAGTGTATGTGCTATGCTGAGCGCTGTGAATTGTGCAAGACTGTTGTCAGAAGTACAGATCTGTACTTCTGAAACAAATAATGCAATGTATGTTAAGAAAAAGAAAGAAGATAGCAGGAGGGGAAGAATGAAGGGGAGTAAGTCAGAGGGGGAGATGAACCATGAGAGAAGATGGACTCTGAACAAACTGAGGGTTCTAGAGGAGAGGGAATTGCGGGGATGGGTTATCCTGGTGATGGGTATTAAATAGGGCACATTCTGCGTGCAGCACTGGGTGTTATGCACAAACAATGAATCATGGAACAGTACATCAAAAACTAACGATGTAGTGTATGGTGATTAACATAACAATAAAAAATTAAAAAAAATAGATGAGTGGGTGCTGGAGGTGGGGAGGAACTGGTGGCGCTGGGGCAAAATGGGTGTAGGTGGAAAATAAAATCTGTGTTAACTCTGCTTGCCTCATGGGGCTGCTGTGAGGTGCCAGGTGGGAAACCATGACCATGAGGGGGCAGGAGTTCCCAGTGAGCTTATGCTAGGAGAAGACCTTGAGCTTCCAGGCTCTGTTGCTTCCTCTTGGTGCTTCCATTACTCTCCCCTTTCCTTGTGCTATGAGAATCATCACATTAATAACAGTAGTGACCATGATAATAACTTGTGTCTGACAGTCTGCTCTGCACTAGTCTTTACCTGTTCTTCACACACGTGAATTTTAAATCTCACTCCATCCATGGGGGGTAGGTACAATGATTGTTCCCAGTTTACAGACAAGCAAACTGAAACATAGAGAGGAGAAGTAATTTTCTACATGTCAGATGTAATCAGTGGTGAGCTGGACTTTGAACCCACGTTGCTCAGCTTTACTGTGTAAGTTCTCAACACTCTACCTACTGATCATGAAAACCTGATTGTCCACTTCGCTCATACTCCCCCTGCCCTGTCACTTCTCTCTTTTCCTTGTTTAGGTGCTGGTTGCTGCTCTCAGTGAGGCTGAGGGCTTGGGATGCTCTACCATCTCCCCCCTCCGTCTCCATGCCTCTCCACCACCCCAAGCCCTTGTACCATCACAACTCTCCAACAGGCTGGTGAAGATCTCTCCGGACGAAGAACTGAATCCTGGGGAGCAACGACAGGCTGTGGCATTAACACATGTGGATTTCGGAGGGCACCACTGAGCACAGTCTATGGGGGCAGAGGCTGTGGGGACAAAGACCACAGTCAGAAGGCTCAAGAAATGGAGGGAGCCAGCTGCCAGTTGGGGGTCCAGGAATAGAGCAGGGGAGGGTAGGGAAGGCATAGCTGCCATTGGAAGAGCTCAGAAAACTCTGGACATTTAGGGAGGAGGAAACAGCTTCTTGTATACCCAGAAGACCATCTGTGAGCCTTACTTGTGGAATAAGCTCCCTTCCCTACCCCTTGTTGGTGAGAAAACCCAGACCCCAGCATGCCCTCCCCAGCTTATGTCACCAATGGGGCTGGCTGGGCAGACTCACCTTTCAGTTTCCGTACAGGTCCCAGTGTCAACAGTAGCAGCACTAAGATCCCTGGGACAGAAAAACAGATGACAAAGAGAGGAGAGTCAAGTTCCAGTTTCTTTTCTTTTTTTTTTTTTTAAAGATTTTATTTATTTATTTGAGAGAGAGAGAATGAGAGATAGAGAGCACGAGAGGGAAGAGGGTCAGAGGGAGAAGCAGACTCCCTGCCGAGCAGGGAGCCCGATGTGGGACTCGATCCCGGGACTCCAGGATCATGACCTGAGCCGAAGGCAGTCGCTTAACCAACTGAGCCACCCAGGCGCCCTCAAGTTCCAGTTTCAACCCATGTCTGCATGGTCATTGCCTTCTGGTGGGTGGTTCTGCCTGCAGCCCATGGCTTTCCAGCAGGATCCTGGAGGCTCCTATACTGCACACAGAACCAAGACTCAGCCTGTCCTCTCCATCTCCCTGGACTCCCCAAGAAGTCAGTCAAGGATAACCACAGCCTTCATGGAACCCCAGGTGCTACAGGTGAGGGGACAGAGTATACACAGACAGCTGATGTCAGGGACACAACGTAGAAACTCCAACCTCTCCCAAAGGAGGGGAGTAAATTTATTTTTTTAATTTTAATTTTATTTTTTTTAATTTAATTTTATTATGTTATGTTAGTCACCATACAATACATCATTAGTTTTTGATGTAGTGATCCACGCTTCATTGTTTTCATATAACACCCAGTGCTCCATGCAGTACATGCCCTCCTTAATACCCATCACCAGGCTAACCCATCTCCCCATCCCCCTCCCCTCTAAAACCCTCAGTTTGTTTCTCAGAGTCCATAGTCTCTCATGGTTTGTCTCTCCCTCCGAGAGGAGTAAATCTTGAAGGAGAAACTCTTCCAATCCATGTGTCTTGCCCATATGCAGGTTCTTTGTTCTATGGCAATAGCAGAAATCTGCTTGGAGGAGGCCCGCTCTCTCCTCCATGGTGAATGGGTGCTTTTCTATTTCACATGGAGCATCCTATGGGATAATAGTGTGGCCAGATGGTCTGTTGTCCAGATGTGGATGGAAGTGGCCCAAGCCCTCTCAATCTGTCAAGCCTGGTGCCCTCAGCTTTCCTGGGTGGCTCCCAGATGGGGTGGGGATGTCACAGCCACCTGAGTCCCAACCTGAGGACTTGAACAAGTCCAGGGTGGGCCTTTCTGGGAACCGCTTGCAGGGGAAATGCTGCATTCCCGACCAGGACCTATCATGACTCCCAGCTATGGCCTTTGTTCTGACTTTCCCTAGGTGGATTCTCACTGCCTGCATAACCTTTGGCATCTCCATTGTCCTGGCAGGAGAGCATGTTCCCATCCATGTTAACTCTGAGACTCCAGCTCCACGGAGATGGACAAGACTCACACCCGAGCCAGGTCTTTTAAGGGGCTTCAGGGAAAGAGTTAAGAGAATGAAAGTGATGCTGGACAGGCAGGATCACCTGGACAGTGGGAACCAGGGCTGTGGTAGACAATGGGGCTGACATCCAGTCAGGCAGCCTTGGGACAGTGAAGTTGCCTTTTTGGATCCCTGTGAAGGCATCCCGTGGGCTGGCAGGAAGTGGTGAGAATCCGCATCTGAGCAAAGCCAGCAGTGGGTGAGGGCAGGATGGTTGGAGAGGGGAGCAGGTGCTGATGGGCTGAATGGGGCTCGGCCTCCATCTTCTGTCCCTGATGGTCTGGGTCAGCGTGGGGTCTGGACTGATCTCCTTGGAAGAGGGTCAGGCCTCTGGCAATGGTCCCCTCTCTTTATATCCAGTTCAGATGGCAGCGTCTTCCATTCACTTAAATTTTAGAGTGTGTGTGTAGGGTGGTCCATATCACTCTGCCCAGCCCCACACATCTTCCAGGTCCCAGTCATCTGAGTTGCCCACAGGCTTATAAACTAAAATTATCAGGGAGGTTCAGGGCAGAGCCTTGCATGGGGAATTAGAGCCGGGAGGCCAAGAAGCCAGTTCACTGTGCTAGGAGGAGCCTTCTCCAGGTGGGGTTATTGGCCAGGGGCAGAGATGGCCAGGGAGAGTGGGCCTACCCTTGAATCTCCCCCCTTCCCACATTTCTGGACAGGGTTCTTGGGTCCATCCTGGTGTGGCCGAGCCTGTGTGGATTCCAGGGAGGGAAGGAAGGTCTCATCCTGGCCGCCATTGATGAAGCAGAAGAAAACTGATATTGCACTGTGAGCTTGTGAAGTATCCTGGATGCCACCCCTCTGTTTTCTGAAAATAAAGTGCCACGTGGCAAGGGAGTCATTCCAAAATTGTGTGAGTGGCACTCTAAAGAGGGATCTGAGCCTTGGGGTCTGGAGAGGGATAGGACACAGGTCGGTGCCCAGAATAGCTCTCTGATGCTTGGAGAAATGAGCTGAGTGACCCCAAACCTCATGGAAGGGGAGATGGAAGGTGCAAAGCCATTCTTACCTTGACACATATTCTCACTCTCATTCCTGAATGCTGTCTCAGAAATGAGCTCCTGTCCCGGGCCACACATGCAGTACCTGCCATCCATGCCCTGGCAGTCAGCGTAGGCTGCACAGGACCTTCTCAAAGGTTGTTCACACATGTTGGTGTCTGGAATACAGAAAGATAAAGGATCACTTCCCAAAGGAGTAAGTTCCCCCAGGTCAGAGGCCCTGGTCTGCCACCTGACCCCACAGTGAAGGCTGGATGGATGCATGTCCCAGGTGGCACACCTAGGGCAGGTCTGAGCTGGAGCCAGCTGCTCTGAATGCCTGCTCACTGTTCTGCTCATCTCTGCTCTCTGGTTGGGCCTCAGGGCACCTAGATTCAGACCCTCTGCTGTGCCATGACGGGGGCAGGAAGGAGATCTGCACCCCTTTCTGCAGGTCTTGTGAAAAAAACAGAGGCACTAAGTCAGGCTCCAGACCACCCCCCTGTGGTGTTTTGGCACCATTGGAGACCTGGGGTGGGTTCTAGTCAGGGCATGGAAGGCCACCCTCGATGCTGAGGCAGTGGAGGGAGTCATGGCCTAGGGGCTATCCAGGGTGACACTCATCATTCACCCCCGAGGATGGAAGCAGATGGTCAGGCCCCCACCCATTGATGGTTTCCACCCACTTTTCTCAGAGTGGTCCAAGTACACCTCACAATCCTTATCAAGCACTCCCTCAAATCCCAATGTCAGTCCTTTTCCAGATTCCCCAGGATGTCTCTGGAGGAATTCTCTTTAATTAGAGCCCATAATAGATGGGAAATGAAGAAGCAACAGGAAGCTGCTAATAGCCGAGTCATTGCAGGGTGGCTTCCTGGCCTCCTGTTCCTAAACCTGAGAGGAAAGAGTCCCATGAACCATGTCCCTTTGAGTAGCTCAGGGACCCATAAAGCAGGGGCTACACATCACCGGCTAAAAATAAAGTTTAATAAGAGCCAGCAAGACAAGAATGCATCAAAATGCAGGGAAGAATGTTTTCTCCTGTACATGCTAATCAGGGGACCAAAGACTTTTAGAGCTTAAAAGGACTCATGACATCCTGCTGAGTCAGGGCAAGCAACAGGGTCCCCCAGAGCAGTTTCCTACCTGAACTTGTGGACATCGCTTCTAAGGCCTCAGGCCCATGCTGTGGGTGTCAGCACCAGGACATGACAGGATGTGGGAAGACGCACACCTGACACATTTGTGTTCACCCCCATCTGGGTAATGGGACTGTCCTCCTCTCTTCTCAGAGGGTGGCAATGGTTGGACACCTGCCTTCAAGGTTGTTGGGTGGGTGGAGTCGAGTGAGAGACATGTGGGAATGAGGCATGTGGGAGGGGAAGACATGATGATGAGAAATCCTCAACCTGACAGGTGTGCTCCCAGGAAGAAGCTGGGATCCAGGCACACCATCAGCAGGGCTCCTTGCCATGCTCACCCAGCCACGAGTCTCCATGAAACAGATACACAAATGCAGGGGGATCTGCTAGGGATACCTCTCTGGCATGGAGGGGCTGGGCAGGAGTCAGAACACCACTTTTTCTTCTGTGGTAGATTTACTTTTCCTCAAATATTAAATGATACAGAGCTACTTAGAAGGACAAAGAAAATATAAAAAAATGAAAACATAGAAAATCACCCATAAGTCCACTACACAGACTACTGGTAAATTTTTTTGAAAAGATTTTATTTATTTATTTGACAGAGAGAGACACAGCGAGAGAGAGAGAGAGCACAAGGAGGGGGAGTGGGAGAGGGAGAAGCAGACTCCCCACTGAGCAGGGGGCCCGATGCGGGGCTCTATCCCAGGACCCTGGGATCATGACCTGAGCTGAAGACAGACGCTTAATGACTGAGCCACCCAGGTGCCCCACTACTGGTAAATTTTAAAGTATTTTTTTCTTTTTAAACATATAAGGAATTTTTCCTTTACTTACCAATATATATGCATCTAAGACTATTTTGAGTACATGAAAGTATTTCTTGGTGTAAAAACTATATTTTCCCACTTTTCCCTATTTTCTTATTGTGGTAAAAGGCACACACAAAATTTTCCATCTTAACCATTTTTAAGTATTAGAATTTCCTTTTATGATCCTATTTTGTTGAATTAAAAACCTCTTGTCCATAATAGCCAAATTATGGAAAGAGCCAAGATGTCCATCAACAGATGAATGGATAAAGAAGATGTATATATATATACATAGAGGAATATTATGCAGCCATCAAAAGGAATGAAATCTTGCCATGTGCAATGACGTGGATGGAACTGGAGGGTATTATGCTGAGCGAAGTAAGTCAATCAGAGAAAGACAAGTACCATATGATCTCACTGATATGAGGAATTCTTCATCTCAGGAAACAAACTGAGGGTTGCTGGAATGGTGGGGGGGTGGGAGGGATGGGGTGGCTGGGTGATAGACATTGGGGAGGG